TGAGGAAATGTAAAACAACATAAAGTCAGTAGATCAAATCCACAGAAAGAATGTAAACATTATATACTGTAAACATGTACTCATAAAAATAAAAATAGATAAAATCAAGAATGTATCTGCACTTGTATTTTTATTGCAACATTATTTACAATGCCAAATGTATGTACTCCACCTATATATCCATGGAAAAGTAAGCCTTTTATACGTGAACATATATATATATGGAGACAGAGAGACAAAGAGAGAGACAAAGACCAAGAGAGAGAGAGACAGAGAAAGAGAGAGAGAGAGACAGAGACAGAGACACAGAGAAAATTTACAATTATGAATTAGAAGAAAATGTATTAAGTGAAATAAGCCAGGTGAAGAAAGATAAATAATAATCTATAGGATCATTAAATGAAATACAGCAGAATGGTGACTAACAGATTAGCTGTGCTAGCCAAATGTTAGGCAAAAGATAAAACATTCCAGGTAGCTATGACTTTAAAAGACAAATTTTAAAATATGATGACTATAGTTAATGGTGGTATGCTGCATACTTGAAAAATGCTGAGTGGAGAAGTGTTCTACCCATAAAACTGAAAACTACATGAGGTGATATACATGTTAATTATCTAAATTTAACCATTTCATGATGAATAACACTTCTAAACATCAGATTGGATATGATAATCATTTATCATTTTATCTGACAAAAATAAATAAATAAATTTGAGAATTTAAAAATTGATAAAAATTAAAAAGGAATTTTTCCCTTCACAACATTATGGGCACCAAGTGGCCCATAAAATTTCCAAAGAATCTTTGAAAGAGTGTATCACAGTATATTTTTCCTGTGGTTGGTTCCTTGAATAACGGAACACTGCTTAGAGTAAATCACATGCTTTTCAAATCAAATTAAAGAAACAAAGTATCTCCCTAGAGGAGATAAATTTATCTCCCTCCATGCTACCTACATAGACTCAAAATAGACTGAAAATTTTCCATTCTGCTATCTTTCTTATACCCCTAGGGAGCTGAATTGTTTGGAGAATGGAATGACAACGGAACAATTTATTTAATTAAGAGCTGTAAGGATTCATAATGTGAGACACTAGAAACTAGAAACACGCCCTGTTTCTCTTCACCAGTGTTTCTCTAGTTTCAACAACTGGGCTTCCTGGGAACAGTTCATGGAGAAGAGAAAAAACATGTGGTATCCATCAGATAGTGTGTCCCTGTGAGGGCAGGTGGAGTACAAAGGAGAAGAAGAGAAAATATGCACAATGAGAATGGGTAAATCCCATAGTTCATTCTGAAATAAAAGTGAGTTTTAGAGGAATTTTAGTTTTCATTAAGACTGCTTACTTCCACTTATTCTTCTGTTTCCTTTCCTCCCACTTTGGAGCCTAGAGCTGTTACTTAGTATGTTATTTTCTGGTGAGTTCCTAACTCTATACTTTTCAATAAACTGTAGGTGTCTGTTAGATTTCCTGCATCCAATTACTTGTTCACCAACTACTTCTCCAAAGATCTATTATGGGCAAGATATTGTCTACTTTTTTTCAAATTTGACCAGAAATTTATTTTGTATTCCTCACCCATTTTTACCAGCAGATTTGACTTTCTGATAGCTCTTGTTACTTCTACCGTTTCACTTGTTTCCTCAATACCTTCTAACACCGATGTGGTTATTTCTGATCTGGAAAACATCTAGTCCTATCCCCTTTCTCCTGTTACCAACCCTTTCAAATATTCACAAAAATATCAAATGATTGAAGTTGAAGAAGACTTTCTTTTTCCCCATAGCCCCTCCAGCATTTGTTATGGGTTGATTTCTTGATGATAGCCATTCTTTCTGGGGTGAGATGGAATCTCAGTGTTGTTTTAATTTGCATTTCTCAAATGACTAATAATGTTGAACATTTTTTCATGCATTTATTTGCCATTTATATTTCAACATGTGAGAAGTGTGTATTCATCTCAGATGCCCATCTTTGTATTAGGTCTTTGAATTTTGGGGGCCTGATGTTTTTTAATTCTTTATATGTTATAGACAGGAGTCCTTTGTCTGAGGGACAGGGGGCTGAAGTTTTTTCCATGCATCATTTTTGTTGTTTTTATGTTGTTTTGATTTTGTCTTCATTGTTGTTTTGTCAGTTTTTTTAATTTCTAAAATAAAAAATAGAAAAGATACTTTCTTGGCATGATTGTGAGTGTAACACAATTATTCCACTGTTTAATGTAACTTTTTTGCCTAGTGTTTTAAAACAACCATGTTTGATCAGGTATGAAAATGCCTTGGCTTCTTGCTTTTACAATCCCAGCTCGAGATGCTCCACACATACATACTAATTAAATTTTCTCAAATGCATTTTTCAATTGGGATTGTTACGTTTTATATTTATTGACTTTCTTTTCTGAGATGACCTCCATTAATGAATGCCTTTATGTTAAGCAGCTTTTTTCCCAGGATTGATCTTTGTTGTGTTATCCTGGGTAAGAATTCCCTGAAGGAATGAGCCATCGAGAACTTCCTTAACCAGAAATGGTGCATGGGAGCCAAAAGAGGTAATCAGCCTGCAGCACTTATATTGATCTAAGTTCCACCTACGGTGGCAGCCAGAGATTAAGGGAGTATTGCTAAGTTATACCCACCCAAGTCTCATTTATTGAAATGTTAAGAATGGAAGTTCACATTTATGAAAACCCATTGTGTCCTAGAAACCAAAATAAATTTAGATCACCTTATTTAATTTTCCTTCAATCCTACCATCACCTTATTTAATTTTCTTTCAATCCTATCCTGCTGCAGACGCAGTATATTGGCAGTTAAGAAAGCTTAAATAACTTTTGCAAGGTCACAAATGTGTTATGTTGTTTGACTAACATCCTATCCCAGGAGTTCTGACTCAAAAACCCAATTTTAAAATCACAGATGTATGTTATCTTGGGAGAATTATTTATCCAAAATTAATATTAAAAATGAGTAATAATAACAGCTATAATTTCCTGAGACTTTTAGTGTACAGAAAGGATTTTTTAAACTTGAGAAAAAATACCAGTAACAAACACATTTCTAAAACAAAAATAAGGCACTAAACATTAACTTCAAGTCACTATGTAGTTCCAGGTCAGAATAAACATTCCTTGTGGTAAAAATCCATGTTAAAAAAGGTATGGAGATTATCAACTAAATATACGTAAAAGTTTTCTCCCATTTTAGAAAGCTTATATCAAATATAAATTTTTTATGTTTATAAATTTAACTGGGAGAATTAAAACAAGGGCATCAGTGAATGTTTTCTTTGTTTTTTTTTGTTTGTTTGTTTTTGTTTGGTTTTTCTCCGGTACCAGGTACCGAACTCACGACCTTGCTCTTGCCAGGCAGGTGCTTTTGCCACTGAGCTAAATCCCCAGCCCCGGGCATCAGTGAATGTAAAGAGAGAATGATCTTGGCTACATTAAGAGAACTATAGACCATCACACATATCTGAAGGAGAAATGACCTACCACTTGGCTGAGTGAACCACTATTACTGGGAGGTACCAGTAGAAAGTGAAGGTGTCTGTATATGCATGATATTATAAAATGGGAATTAAATGTGGTGACATTTGACTGTGCTTTCAAAATTGATTCTTCTGTCACAGGAGATATTCTGTGACATGGAAACAGAAAACTACACAGGAACATCACAATTCCTTCTCTTGGGTCTCTCGCAAGATCCTAAATTGCAGCCCATTCTTTTTGGGCTCTTCCTGTCCATGTACCTGGTCACAGTGCTGGGGAACCTGCTCATCATCCTGGTCGTTGGCTCTGACTCCCACCTCCACACCCCCATGTACTTCTTCCTCTATAACCTGTCCTTTGTTGACATCTGCTTCACCTCTACCACCGTCCCAAAGATGCTGGTGAATATTCATGCACACAACAAAGGTATTTTGTACACAGAGTGCCTCACTCAGATATATTTATTTTTGGTTTTTGTGGGCATGGATAATTTACTACTGACCATAATGGCATATGACCGCTTTGTGGCCATCTGCCATCCCTTGAAATATGTGACCATCATGAACCCCAATGTCTGTGTTTTCTTAGTTCTGATATCATGGCTCATCATGTTCTTGGTCTCCCTGCTTCATATTCTACTAATGAAGAAGTTGACTTTTTCCATAGACACTGAACTCCCACATTTCTTCTGTGAACTGGCTCAGGTTCTCAAGGTGGCTAGGTCTGATGCTAATGCCAATGTCAATATCATCTTGTTGTATTTGTCAACTGCCCTGCTGGGTGTGTGTCCCATCACTGGGATCCTCTTCTCTTACTCTCAGATCATTTTCTCCTTAATGAAGATGTCCTCTGCAGAAAGCAGGTTTAAAGCATTTTCCACCTGTGGGTCTCACCTCTGTGTGGTCTCCTTGTTCTATGGAACAGGACTTGGGGTTTATCTCAGCTCTGCTGTGACCCAGGCTTCCCATGACAGCTCTGTTGCCTCTGTGATGTACACTGTAGTGACCCCCATGCTGAACCCCTTCATCTACAGCCTGAGGAACAAGGATGTGAAGGGGGCCCTAGGAAGACTTCTTGGCAGAGCAGCCTCTTGTCTTTAATGGACCACTGATCTAGAATTAACTGGACATTGTGCACCCTGAAGCAAATGTTGTGAATATGAAAATCCTGGGTGTTTTTCTTCCTTAACTGACATCTTCAAATTTTTGTGTTCATAAAGTGTCTATGACTTTGCATTTTATGTTGTTGTATTTTTCCTTCTCCACAATGCCCTCAGAAGTTTCCTTCTAAAATTTTCTTCTTTGTGTATGTTTCATAAAGCTGCAAGTATGATAAGTTTTCGTATAGACAGTCCTGAGATTTCCATCATCATGTAAAGTATTAATATCAGCTGCTGAAATGCTTCTCTCAAAAATTTTACTTAAATGTTAAAGTTTTTGTTGTGACTTGGTTGTATTTTTGTGTGCTAAGGAAGAAATGATACGAAAATCATCACAATAATATTTGTACCACATCTGAAATATACTTCTGATTTTGCATGACTTCATACTGCAGAGCTTTCTTTGAAATAATTCCTCACGTTCATCCAATTTCTGAACAGAAGAGACTGAGAATGGGATGTACGGTGGCCTGGAACTTGATACTCAGCCCAATTCTTACCATTCTTGTCCTACCTTCATAGGAACAGGGACTGGACCTCTTCCACTGAAAGTGAGTTTGTTCACTTGCTATATAGTGAGATAATATCTAGGGTAACTCTGAAATCTTACATTTTGTGTAATTCTTGTTTTGGTCCTTACCTCTTTCTTCTTTTTTTCCATGTCTTCCTTTTTCTTCTCTGCTTTCTTTTTTTCTTCCTCATTCTTTCTTTTCTTCATTTTGACTATTTTATTGGCTAGTATTAACTAGCTTCATTCCTTTTTATGAGTTAGTAGTATCCCACTTTAGGTATATACAGACACTTTTCCTCCATGCATCTGTTGATGGACATTTGGTTAATTTCCATCATCCCCTGTTTTGAATAGTACTGCTCTGAATACACATGAACATTTATGTTTAGTACTCTTCTTCCTCAGAATAATGTTGCAGTCAATGACAAACGCCATATACATGGATTTTCCCGTAACGTTATAACATGCAGTGATGCCCTAGTCAGTGATATCCACACAATGACAAGATCACCTTAAGAAAGTTTCTGAGACATACTCTGGTTGTTAAGCAGCAAATAACTGTACTTGTTTGCAATCATTATGGTAATATATCTAGGAGTGGAATTAATTGATGATAAATTTATTGTATGTTTAACTTTTATTATGAATTGGCAAGTGTATTTTACATTTTAAAAGAAAGTGTACAGTTCTTCTTATCTTCACATCTTGCCAATACTTCTCATTTTTAATTTTATTAAAAGTGTGGCCTTTACTGGGTATGAAGTAATATTTCATTGTGCCTCTGACATTACTTTCCATTTTCAATTTTTACCTTTTATTAGTAATGTTTGCAGTACATAACTACTTTCCTAGTGGGGAGTTGGTGCGTGCATGCAATGTCTTCATTCTTTCTTCATCCCCTTAACCTTCCTTCCCTCCTTCCTGCCTGCATCTCTTTCTATAAAGAAGAATAAATCAGTCATTTGAAAGAAAATTAATACACCTTGAGACCATAATATTGCGAGATAAATCAAGCCTACAAGTTTAAATATTTCATGCTTTCTCTTATATAAGAAATTTGAATTATAAATAAGCAACAAATAAAAGATAAATAATAGGAAATAAGAGGTAGATCTTTTGCAAAAGGGAAGGGAATTGGAAGATTTTAATTTCCTCATGATTAATTAAGCATTTGTTCAGGTACTTATTAGCAGTTTATATATTTGCTGGAGAAGTGGCTTTTCAAGTGTCTTTTCCTGTGCTGCAGTAGAGTACTGTACACGTTTAATTCTCTCAGTTTTCCTTGTGCATTCTGCATGCTTGTCACCTGTCAGATA